CCATTAAGTCAATCACAGTTGAAAAGGTCACTCACAGCCTAGAACATGACTTAACCCATAGCCTAGAGCCTGATGCAGCCAGTGAGAGCAAGAAACAAAATAGTTGTTTTTATAAACTGCTTACATAGGGAAGATGATTTTGTGGAGTGTTATTGCAGTAAAAACTGAATAAGAAACTTCCTGCCTCCCCTCTAAATATAGGTCTGCGTTCTTCTTCTGTTACCACCTAGCTAGGTAACTAGATCCCCATTTCTGTTGTCTTTGCCCCAGAAATTTTCTGAAACATTGTGAGGAATGTTGATATGTGATAAGTCAGCTGGGAATCGAGCAATGTCTCCAGGTACAGGGAGATGCATTACCTGCATATCTAAAAAATGTCTGGCAGTAGGGAGTGGAAATGACGCTCCTGAGTGAAGACTCGCTGTCATTTACACAGTAACACCTCTCCATGTTGATCTTTCCCTGAGCAGGCTCAGGTAGGGAGTCACATGTGGCCACCATTATTTATCCCTAGATAAACATCATGGCCTCCTCATCTCTTTTGGACATCAGGATCACTTGGTCATTGAATACATAGTCCAGCATTTGGAGTTTCACACAAGTGACAAGGAAGCCAGCTCAGATCCTCACTTGATCGTTCAAGCACAATCCAGAATTTGAAGTCTTACAAGCTGCAAGGAAACCAGCTCAGATCCTAAAATGACCACTCTGTCAACAGTATTTGGGGAAATTTCTGTATAAAACAGATGAAAAATGACTATCCAAGTCTATCCTCTTGCCCTTTCTAATTTATCAACATGACTTATTAAATATTTGTAAATTACAAAGTCCAAATTGTTTGACAGTTTTCCTTATGGAGATAAAAGTTCTGGAGTCAATTTAGAGCTGGGTATGGTTGGCTCATGACTATAACCCTAGCACTCTGGGAGGCCCTGGGGGAGGATTGCTGGAGCTCAGGAGTTTGAAAATTGCCTGAGCAAGAGCAAGACCCTGTCTCTACTTAAAAATAGAAAACACTAGCTGGCCATCCAGCTACTCAGGAGGGAGACTGAGGCAATTGCTTTGGGATCGCTTGAGCCCCAGAGGTAGAGGTTGCTGTGAGCTATAATGATGCCATGGCATTCTACCCAGGGTGCCAGAATGAGACCCTATCTCAAATAAATAAATAAATAAATAAGAAAAAATTTAAAACTTTTTTTGTTGTGAGTAATAAAGTAAAAGTAAGTATATCTCTACTTTGAAATAGGACCAATGCTAAGATTTTAGCCACTTATGTTGACCAAATAAGCTCTATTATTTTTTTGAAAACTCATCCCTCCCCCTTTTCCCTAAAATAATTGTAGGGACAACTGAATCTTGTTAAATATTTCACATGAAACAACTCCGTGAACACTACCTCTTTCTGGATAATTCGATGTTAATAACTTAAGATAATCATGAAAATCTTAATAAGAAAATTAATTTAGAGTTTGTATGTTCTGTATGGCTATAATGGCTATATATATGACAAAAATGTATATATCAGTAGAATATGGTTTACCTAGATGAAAACCAAGAAGTATTTATCTCACTACCACCAAAAAAAAAAATCAATCCTTCGAGTTGTGGCGATCTAAAAATATATATTTATTATGTTAACTTCTTAATTATTGTAGTTTTATAGTAATCACAGACAAACACAAACATATCAAATGAAGTAGTTTTCTTTTTTTTTTTTTTTTGAGGCAGAATCTTATTATATTGCCCTCGGTAGAGTGCCGTGGTGTCACAGCTCACAGCAACCTCAAACTCTTGGACTTAAGAGATTCTCTTGCCTCCATCTCCCAAGTAGCTGGGACTATAGGCACCCTCCACAACACCCAGCTATTTTTTGTTGCAGTTGTCACTGTTGTTTAGCTGGCCCAGGCCAGGCTTGAACCCACCAGCCTCAATGTACGTGGCTGGCGCCATAGCCACTGTGCTACAGGTGCCGAGCCAAATGAAGCAATTTTCATTTTGATAAAGAGAACCCATTTAGTTCAACAAACGTGTTTTGAATATTTTCTACGTGTCACGATTTACAATTCTTATTACCAGTATATTATCAGTTACCAACAGAAGGACTCGAAGGTTGCTTCCAAATTTTTGTTATGCAGCAATGCCACAAAAACATCCTGCTGTCTGTGTCATTTTGCACGTAGGTAAATAAAAGCATAAGGCAAAGTCCTAAATGTGGATTTACTGGATCAAAAGGTATGTACATTTAACATTTTGATGCATAATTGTACCAGTTTGCACTCTTACTAGCAAACATGAAGAATTTCTGGTTACTCCAAACTCTTGTCAATCCCATGTAGCATCAAATGCGTTGTTCCTGGCAGATCTTACAGGTTAAACAGGAGCCTCAGAGTTTCAGGTTGCACGTTTGATATTATCACTGCAGTTGAACATCTTTTCTCCTTACATTTGCCCATTTTTAATCCAAAATGAGATTGTTTTTTGGTTCATTTATAATGTATCCTTATGGCTTAAGAAATTATATTGTTTTTGTGATATAAATTATATTCCTCTCTTGTCATTTGTCTTTTCCATTCGCCTATGTTTTCCTGTGAATAATGTCTTTTATTATGTAGTTGAATTTACCATTGTTTTCTTCTATGTATTTAAAAAACTCCCTGGTATGATATAATTTTATGGTTATATTTTTCATGCTTCTATCTCGATTGATCTAAAATTGATATTGGTATAAGTTATAAGGAAACCATTTTTTCCAAGATCACTACCTATTGTGCCAATACAACTACCTAAGTATTTCATACTCCTTAACTAATATGAAATATCAGATTTATTATATACTGAATGACTTTGAACCGACTTTCAAACTTTAAATTTTGTTTTTTTACTGTTTAAATATCCATTTCTCTGTCTACTTGGCTAATTACTGGGATGTTTTCATGTATGCTTTAAGCTGGTTTTCCCCATTTTGTTACTTTTATTACTTTTTTAAATTGCATTGGCAGTCCTGGCCCAGTGGCTCTCACCTGTAATTCTGGCACTCTGGGAGGCTGTGGCAGGTGAATTGCTTGAGCTCAGGAGTTTGAGACCAGTCTGAGCAAGAATGAGATGCTATCTCTACTAAAAACAGAAAAACTAGCCAGACATAGTGGCGCATGACTGTAGTTTCAGCTACTTGGGCGGCCAAGGCAAGAGGATTGCTCAAGCCCAAGAGTATGAGGTTGCTGTGAGCTATGATGACGCCCCAGCACTCTACCCAGGGCAACAGAGTGAGACTTTGTCTCAGAAAAAAAAGAAAAAAATTGCATTTGGATATTTTTTTTGTTTTTTTAATTATAAAATTTAAAATAAATTTATTCCCCCCAAATAAGTTTTGATGTATTTATTATATATATGTAGGCTTAAGAGTATTGGCATTTTCTTTTCTGACAATTTTTATAAATTTTGTGCATTTTGGTAACATTTAACTTTTTTCCTTTGAATTTCACATACTTTTGAATCATTTTATTCCATAAGTTTTTACTAGTTTTGATGTAATTAGAAATTTGGTGTTTTCTTCCATTAGATCTTCTTTCTTGTTTCCCATTAAAAAAAAATAAAAATGGGCAGCGCCTGTGGCTCAAAAGTGTAGGGCACCGGCCCCATATGCTGGAGGTGGCAGGTTCAAACCCAGCCCTGGCCAAAAAAATAAAAAATAAAATAAAAACTAATTTGATCAAAATTAAGTTGCATTTTGTGTGGCAAGCCCAAGGGTCACCGTACATTCATACATACAGAAAATGGGAAATTGTAGCTAAATGCAGCATTATTTACAAAATATTCATTACAAAATTTTACACAGATTTACAAAGTATGTCTCTACATGTTAGTATATAAATATAAAATGTAGTATGAGTTTGTTAATTTTTCCTATTTATGACAACCTTTGGGACACCCTATATTTAGGTAATACCTTTACATTTTTACATTTTTGACAAATGTTTGAGGTTTCTTTCTTTTTTTTTTTGCAGTTTTTGTCCAGGGCTGGGTTTGAACCCGCCACTCCAGTATATGAGGCCAGCACCCTACCCCTTCAGCCACAGGTGCCATCTGTTTTTGGCAAATGTTACTAACATGATTCATATATTCCAAAAACGAGCCACAATATAACAAAAGAAGCCTAATTTTATAATTTTCTATGAGGAATTGTGAGCCTATTTCATTTGTGAGCTCACAATTTTCATTCTCATCTTACCAAGAAATGGCATTTCTGCAATTAACGCATTGCCACTCTCATCAAACACCTTTGAACCCAAGAAGCCTTCAATCCTTTAGTTCTTTAAGCCCAGTTTGTTTAGCCAATTTGTTTCTTTATTCAGCTCCTCAGATTTCTTTTTACTTTTTAAATTTATTATATGTTGACAAATTATACTTGTATATGTTTATGGAGTATGAGGTGATATTATGATTTTTGCATACAAAGTGGAAAGATTAAATTGAGCTAACGTATCTTATCACCACATTCCTTTCATCTTCTGAAGGATCTCTATTTTGTTATAACGTTATTGACTTTCAACTTGGAACTTCTCTGTGGAGATCGTCCAATGACAGTGCTGAGGAATCACGTCACTGCTCAGAGAGCAGCAGGCCCCACCTTGTTACCAACTGCACGTTGTTTTCTCTCTACCATTGGTGCCTTCTGATGGCATCCGGCACCTGACCATCAGCTGGAGTGATGGTACTGAGCCCAAGACCTTGGCCAAGATCCATTTGACTGAGCCTATGTGGATAACACCTCCTAGATAGTTTATAATACCCTAAGACAAATATGGAAAATTAGACAGTTGGCAATGGGATATGCCTCCTGGGGGAACCATCCTAATATAATCCCCAAAGAAAGGCAGTGATAAAAATATCCTTTATTATACAATCATAATCTCTTCAAGGAAGCAATTATAATTTAAAGTATTGGACTGCTGAGATGCACATTTTACCAAATACAAGCATCATAACCTTATAACACAATATAAAGGGTTGATGTCATAATTATGAAGTTTATTGAAATGTGATTGTTCCTTTGTGTCTTTAGAGAAAAGAGTAAGAAAGGAAGTTCTGATGTTTAGTACTTGTTCTATAATTTCAAGGTCTATAATTTCTTGTTCCTTTGTGTCTTTAGAGAAGAAAGGAAGCTCCGATGTTTAGTACTTTAGAGTAAGATACATGGATCGTTTGGTCGGTTAGCAGCACTCTGGAGAACCTGGATCTGATTTTGAAGTCTTCTTTGTTCAGCTTCCAGTTCTTCTTTGAGCTTTTGAGCCTTCCTCTAAAAAAGAGTGATAAATAGAAATTATTAAAGTTCTGCAAAAAGTAAGATTGAACTTTTTTCTGGTTACCTAAGTCATTCATTTGTCCTTACTTATTTTACTGCACAGTAGAAATAGACAGTCTGCCCATACTGCTCTTCAGAGAAGAGTGGCAATTTTGGAAATTCCTTGGAGTAGTTCTTGGCAAACTAGTACCTAAAGGTGGCCTGACAAGCAATGGGGAGGAATTAGGATGTCCCTTATCTCTAATATTAGAGTGCTGAATAGGAATTTCACACCGGATGTGCAGAAGTGAAAATATTGCAGAAACCAGTCACTGGGAAGGCCATTTTGATAACTAGTTAGGCAGTGTGTATTGGCATTTATCTCTTTGGAACCTCATTTATCTCATCTGAAAAATCAGGGTGCAACAGTTCTGCTTTGCATGTAATGCATGTAAAGTGTTTTGATAGTGCTTGGTAAGTAACAATTACTGCTTATTAAATGAAAAGAAAACTAAAGGACTGGATGAAACAAACTACAAGTGAAAAGCATTCGGAGCCAGAGATGATGAAGGCAAGGACTGCGGCATAGACACAATAATATGAAACTAATTTAACAAGGTATCAATGGCCAGAGCAATTAATAAGTTAACAGGAGAGACCAATTACTGAAGGCTAAAAATACCTTAGTTTTTATTTAAGAACTTAAGAGTGCTTATTCTGTGCCGAGTACCATTCTAAACACAAATTAATTAACTCATTTAATTACCAAAGTAACCCTATAGAACAGGCATCATCACTGTCTTCATTTCACACAGGAGGAAATGAGGCACAGACAGGATAAGTAACTTGCCTAAACCATGTATTTATTAAGAGGTAAAGCTGAGATTGACCCCTACGTGTGGGGCCCAGCCTTTGCTGTGACCTTCCCCAGCCCTGCCCCTTGATCTCTGCTTGGAGCTCTCATCATTTCAGACAGCGGAGAGATGAAACAATGGGCCAATACCTGCATCTCAATTTCCTTCATCCTCTTTTGCTCTGCCAGTGACTTTTCATGGGCTATCTGCATTTGTCTCACTTGTTCCTGCTGCAGTCTCTCCCTCTCCTCCATCATTCGCTGGTTTTCCCTTTGAACAGCCTCCAACCTTTGGGCTTCAGCCTGCGCAGCCAGGGCTCTCTCACGTTCCTCTGAGGAGAAAAAGTAGAAAGACAAACCTCTCCGGGATTAACGTGGGCCTTCCTTCTGCCTCCCACTCTTATTCGCTATTGCTTCAAGTTCTTAGAGAGTGTTCCCTGGGGTTGTTTTCCCTCCTAGATAACCATAACAAAGCTGATCGTGCCACACTTGGACAAAGCCTGAGGAGCTAAGAAGTGTGCTCTTGCTCCAGTTTAATGATCCCAGGAGAGAAACTAATTTCAAATTTATAGAAATTTCTTTTGTCTCTTACATCCCTTCTGATTTCTTCTTACCTGCCATTTTCTTTTCCTTTTCTGTGAGAGCCTGGTCTGTCCGTAGAATAGCATCACTCACAGACTCCTTGGATTTTAAATACTCCTGCAGAGCTTTCTCAGCCTAGCAACCCCCCCAAAACATGCAGTTAGAGGTAGGAAATAGTGATTAGCAATGTTATAAACATCTTTACTTCTTTTTCCTTCCAGTGTCTTATCTTCATGAGAGGTGCTCAGCCTGTACTTGATGCAATTTTGAATCAAGGCTCCCTGGTTATAAGTTTTGGCCAATCAGAAGGCCCAAGGCCACTAGATACAAAAGACTTGTTCCCAGGTGGAAAAATACTGTAAGGAGGAAAACTGATGCCACTTGGGTGTTTCAAAGACTGATGTCGTCTGGGGAAAAGATGCTTTCTTTCCCCTGAGATGGAGACTTTAAGGACTGGCTAAGCTTGGTCCTCTTGGTGTCATCGTCATTGTTCTGTAGGTTTAGCCTGCCTAGAAATTAAACCAGTAAGAAAATGAAACAGAAAAATGAGGTGGAGATTAGGAAGAAAGAAGGAAGGAGGACAACTGATAGCATTATTTAAACACCTGAATGTGTCTATATTTGAGACTAAGTTAAAGCTTTTTGCTCTTAGTTTATGTAAGCCAGTGGATTACCAGTTTCTTTTAAGTTAGTTTCAATTCTTGAGATTCTGTGTAATCAAAAAGATCCCTTTGTTGTAATGAATGTTGATGGTTGCAATAGAAGTCTGGTCATTATGGCAGTGGTTCAATTGAATTCCACAGCTATCATTAGAGTATAAGTTCTGTGCTAGGAAAACCAATGCTAGGCATATAGTTTTTCCATGAATGCTTATTCAACAAAGTGAGGCAGAGACATGAACCTCATTTGTGTGCCTTTCACACAAATCCCTACACATCCCTTTCTTTCTGTCTTCACCAGTTTTTAAAGAGGCCTTCCGACAATTTCCCACAATTAATAGGTAAAATCAGGGATACCTGTATTCCTTTCCTAGGCTCCTGATGGTACTTTGCCTTCAGCTCTTCTGTCTTCTGAATGTAGAGACTATGGCCTCCTGGCTTAGAATAAATCCCCAGCTTCACTGCTTCTTCTAGAGAACCAAAAATATCTTGAAGCAAAGTCCAGCAACGATCCCATGATGCCTCTAAGTTCTGTTTACAAATGTCTTCATGCTTTGCATCCAGTAGGATCTTCAAAGAGACAACAACCCATGGCAAAGATGTTAGCGATACTTCAGTTTTTCTAGAAATGATTCTCGAAAACAATCCATGTATTTTCTAGAAATGTAAAGGAATGCAAGCAAGCCTATATCCTTCTCACTACATCTGGAAATGTTCTAAGGATGATACTCTGTAGAAAAATGACATTTAGGTTCAAAATCTCCCCCAAATCCCCTTCTTCTTATTATTTCTGCTTTAGGTGTGATATTCAGACCACAGATCACTCGCTCCATGCTAATTTTAAATGCAGCCTACCCTTTTACAGTATTCCTCATTTCAGTGTTGTACTAGGCCTGGGCTTTCCAGTAAGAAGGTAGAATAAAATAATTGGCTGGAATGAGCTCAGCCTATTTTATTAAATCTGGTAATAATTGCAATGGTTCAATTTAATTCCACAGCTATCATTAGAGTATAAATTCTGTGCTAGGAAAACCAATGCCAGGCACATAGTTTTAGTGGATCCAACTGGTAATTCTATATGCTTGATTAATAAAATGGGAAAGTCAATTAATACTTTGTAAATATAATTCTTTAAAGCAATAAAATTAATTCAAATGTAGTTCATAGGTATAACCTGGTAAAAGTAGGTTGTGTGCATATATGAAAACTTCAGAATTTATAAGGTCCAGAATAGTTACATGTGTGTTTGTTTTCAGAATAACAATGATAGTGATATCATGGCCAGATAAATGATTCTTACGGTTTTCCAATCTGGTAGCAATTGCTTTTTTTAATTCAATCCTGTTTTACCATTCATAGCAATATTGTCTTCTATTGACCCTAATCCTCATGAACCAGAAAAAAAAAGTCATTACCTCTAATTCCTTCTGGAACTTTTGGTCCACATCGTTGAAAGAGTTTTTCATAAAAATTTCAATGGCTTTTTTCTCAGTGGCCTTGTGTAGGTCCAGCAGTTCCTGAAGGGTCTCCATAGGCAGCTGCGCCTTCTGGCCCATCTCCTGGTCATAATAGGCCATGGCCTTTTGCACTGCAGCTGAATTCTCTATCTGGGCCAAGGTCAGGACTGTGTTCTCCATGCTGGGAAGATTCCCACTATTGATGGCATTGACATAGATTATCACCAGGTTCTTTAGACCTTCACAGAAAAAAAGAAATGTTTGGTTGCATAGAAAGAAGGCATAGTTGACATTAATAATTCTGAGATTGCACATTTAACAGTGGGTTGCCTGACATTTTTCAGTATTCCGGGGAGTAGCCCAGATAAGTTCCTTTGGGAAACTGTATGATCAGGAAGCCAGGTTTTTCCTTCTTTGGGAAAAGTAGCTGTGTCCAAAGAAGAAAACAGAGGAAATCTCAAGATATATGTGATTGTACACATTTCATCCTTCTCCCATGGAAAAATGAGGAGATGATTATACAAAAGTCATGCAGATTCATTGAGAATGCCATAGGCCTTTGCCTCTTTAATCTTCATCTTTTCCTCTCATCCTCAGTTTTCTGTTTGTTTGGAATGCCTTTTCTCTTTCACTTTAGTATGGTTCAACTAATAAAAGAGATTTTCTCCTTTGAAAAAGTACAAAATGAGTAGTTCAGACAAGGTTTCCCTTATTCTTTGTTAGAACTTCCCTATTTTACTTCCTTCCTTACTTGTTCGCACACTTTTCTTTGCATTCAACTTCCATCTATAATGTAGCAATTATTTACAGAATTCTGAGACACAGAGTTCTTAAGAAAAACTAGATTAAAAAATCTCAGATTTCCTTTAGTGTTCTAAAAGACAGAACCAGAATCCATACTGCTCACCACTCACAAAAATTAATGCACAATGGATAAAATACTTAAACCTAAGTCATGAAATGGAAACTTAAGAATCCTAGAAGAAAATACTGGAAAACCCCTTATAGATATCAGCCTAGGCAAAGAATTCATTAAAAAGACCCCAAAAGCAATCACGGCAATGACAAAAATAAATAAATGGGACCTGATCAAATTTAAAGGCTTCTGCACAGCCAAGGAAACAATCAAAAGAGCAAACAGACAACCCACAGAATGGGAGAAAATATTTCCAAGCTTTATCTACATCTGATAAAGAAAGAACTCAAGCAAATCAGCAAGAAACAACCAAGCAACCCCATTAAAATGTGGGCAAAGACATCAACAGAAACTTTTCAAATGAAGATATACTAATGACTAAAAAATTCATGAAAAAATTTGTTAGAAATTTCAACATTTCTAGTCACTAGGGAAATGCAAATCAAAACCACCGTGAAGTAACACCTAACTCCAATGAGAATGGATCCTCTTAAAAATCCCAAACAACAGATGCTGGTGTGGACACAGAGAGAAAGGAAATCTTATACACCGTTAGTGGGACTGTAAACTAATACAACATCGATGGAAAATTGTATGGAAATACCTCAAAGAATTCACCATTCGATCTAGCAATCCCACTGCTGGTATATACCAAAAGGAAAAAAGTCATCTTATAAGAAGCTCATCTGCATGGGAATGTTTATAATAGCACAATTCACAACTACAAAGACATGGAAATAACCTAAGTGCCCACCAATACATGAATGGATTAATAAAATGTGGTATATGCATATGGAGTACTACTCAGCCATAAAAAATGGCAGTCTAGTATCTTTTGCGACAACCTAGATGGAACTGAAAACCACTCTTCTAAGTGAAACATCACAAGAGTAGAGAAACGAACACAAGTACTTCATACCAAATTGGAACTAATCAATCAACAATTAAGTGCACATGTGGAAGTAAATCACAATGAAAATCAAGCTGGGGGGAGAGCAGAGGCGGGGATGGGCAAATTCACACCTACTGGGCACAGTGCACACTCTCTGGGGGAAGGACGCACTTATAACTTTTACTCCATCTGTGCAAAAACAAAGTATACAAACAATAAAACACATGTACCCCCTAATGTTCTGAAATTTAAAATAATTCTTAAAAATAAAATTTACAAATTCAGTAAAACACTCACACAAATACACATTTGTGTCTGAAAAAAGGAAGAAATTCTGGACAATTGGGCCTTTGAATAATGTTTGTTCCAACCAAGTTCAAATTCTGTAAGCAACATGTGTGTCTTGCTCCTCTTGTGCTAATCAAAGGCTGTGACACATAATAAATGCTGCAGTCCATGTATGTTAGTCTAGTTCAACAATGAAACTTTGGGTCAAACTTCTTTAACTTTGTGTTATCTTCAGATACATTCCCATTTTACATAGTTTTGGAAGTATAACTTAAAAAACACTAGAAATATTTTTGATACCCACTAGAATTTAATAAAAATATACATGTAATTTTCAAGGTAGGAATTCCCTATGCATTTGTTAACACTGACACTGCAAATATACTCTTATAAATGGCCCTTATTCTTTATACTAAGAATTGAAAGAAAATCCTAAAAATAGTACTTACAAGACCCATTGACCTTAATCCCTCCGGGAAGAGTCTTAATCATAGAACAACTGAAGATGTAGGAACAGAATTCTGCCACCTGTTGCACAAATTCAGAATCTAGTTCATCATCATGCAGTGTCTCAAGATGGGCAAGTTTCTTTTGCTGAGTAGGTAAGTCAAAGATAAAGCATTTCTTTATTGGAAAGAACTTCTGTATGCATAGACGGGGCAAATTGAACTTCTGAATTGTTTGATCGCTACCTGGAGAAGGAAAAGTTGAACTTATTCAGTATAGAATTTTAATCTATTTATCTCAAATAAATGTCCTTCTTCCTAATGTTACACAGTTTAATATATCTTCATAAACTCTAAGCTAAAAGACAAATGATTACTAACCTCAGAAAGGGGGGGGGGAAGACATTAGTTCTAAGAACAGAGTAAAGCTATTTAATCCTGAACCTATTACATTATAAATTAATAATATTCATTATTTATTTTGTAGGCGAGCTAGGTGAGTGAATATGGAAAACTATACACAAAAGAGTTCACTTCTTATGTTACTTTTCTCCATCTTTCCAGATGTGAAATTCCTATTACCTTCCTTTAGCCTTAGTGAATTCTCCAGGTATTCGTCTGCTGTGATAAGTTGCCCATCTATTTCCAGGTCTAAGTAAAAGTCTCTTAGAGTCCACACTAATTCTGGAAAGAAACTGGCAAAGTCAACAGCATCTTCAGCTCCAACAAGGTCAGGCGAGCTTCTTGCCCAGAGCAGATCTGTCAGTTCTGTTACATTGCTGAGATGGGCAATTAAGGAAAACGCAGAGATAAGATGCCTCCAAGCCCATGTTTAATTCTATGTCTCCCCAGACCTTTATTTCCCTTAAGGTGCTTTTTCTTTTTTGGAGACAGAGTCTCAGCCTGTCACCTAGGGTAGAGTGCCTTGGCATCATAGCTCACAGCAACCACAAACTCTTGGGCTCAAGCAATTCTCTTTCCCCAGCCTCCCAAGTACCTGGGACTATAGGCACTGGCCACAAAGCCTGCTGATTTTTTTTCCAAATGTTTTATTAGAGATCAATGAATTAGAAAATTATTCATGTATACAAAGAAACTCAACAAAAGTATTTTCTCCGTTTTCACAATGAAAATACAAATAGCATTAGTAGAGTTATTTCAGTTCTGAAAGCTGAATTACAATTCTTGCTCAGGACTAGTTGAGTTGTTGCTTGGCTAACTGAAAGAATTAATTTCCATCAGCACTGATAGGCTGCTATTTGTTTCCTATTTTTCTTTCTTTTTTCTTTCTTTCTTTTTTTTTTTTTTTTTTTTTAGGGATGGGGGTCTCGCTTTTGCTCAGGCTGGTCTCAAACTTCATTGAGCTCAAGGAGTCCACCTGTGTTGGCCTCCCTGAGTACTAGGATTACAGGCATGAGCCACTGTGCCCAGCCTTCCCTTTGGGTCTTTACCAAATCATCATTTATCAGTAAATAGAAGAGTTCTTTTCTATGTACTTTCAATATTTGCCATGTTTTCATTTTTGTGATTCACAAGGACTTACAGACAAACAGCTGATGGATAGAGGAGTTACCTCTGATTTCAATGCCATCCTACACCACAAAAGGATACTGCAGGAGGTCGATAGCTTCCTGGTCAATTTTGTTCATGGTATTGTATATGACAGTGCTGCTCAGGAGGATTGCCAGTGCAAAGATCTGCATATCGGTCTTGTCAACCTAGAAGTCAGAACAAATTTAAGTCATGTCTCTTGGGATTCTCAGATGCACAATTTATAAAAGTAGATCCCTGATCTACAAATGTTAAAGAAGACAAACACGAATAATTGTCAGAAATGTGAATTTTGAATAGTTCTCTTGTTGACACTGATAATTTTATACTCTTCTGTATTAATTCCCCAGCCCCTTTTGTAACGAGTATTAGATATTTGCAAAACAAATGGCTACTTTAAGATAATGGGAATAATCCAACTACTCAAAAACCATGGTTTTCCAGAGCATAAAACAAAATTGGCTTACATATACCATAAATATACCTATGTTATTAAATAATTATTATCTATAATGCAGTTCACATCACTGATCTTATCTAATTTTTTAAAAAAGTTGTGATGTGGATTTATAATTACTATTTCCATTTTGTAGGTGAGGAAACTGAAGTTCAAATGATGGCTTATCATCTTTGCATCTGGGCAAATCAAAACCAAACAAACAAAAAAAACCATAAAAACAATGGAAGTTCAAGAGAAAGTTGCAGTTGTATGTCAGAGCCAGCTAGTAACAGCATATTGAGTACATCCCTTCCAAAGAATGAGTTTAGTGTCTCCACTCTGTTAGCGTGAACTCAGTAATGGTAGGAGCATTTAGGAAACTGTCGAGTGCTACAAAGCAAGGTTGTTCTTTCTTCTCTCCAGTGAGCTGACTAGTAAATACTTAACAAGCATAAAATTAGAAAAAATCCACCTATCTACTGTCCAATTATGAGCTGAATAAGACCAAAGAGGAAACAAAAGATTTAGGGAGACTTCCTTCTCTTGTCAAAGTTAGAGAGTGACAAGTCCCAGAGCCCTGATTTTAACGCAAGTCCATCTGAGCCCAGAGTCCACTATTATCTAGTGTAATCTCCAGGACTGGGTCACAGCAATTTTATTTGCACCATCTTTACACATTTGGGTCAACTGCCTGGCTCAATTCAGTGCAGTTCTCCCAATACTGACTCTATTATGTTTTCTCACTTCAGGCTTCTAAACTCTGACTATTAAATATAGAAAAGAGAAAGAATGGAGGTATACTTTGGTTAAGTAGAAGCACAAATTTAAAAAGGAAAAAACCTAAACACTCCCCGTATAAAGACTGTTCAGCAATGAGAAAGTTAAGAAGGAAATCCTTCTTCTTTACCTTCTCCACATCTCCCAGGCCCTCTGTGTCCAGCAGAACTAGGGTGTGGTCTGGTTTCTGAGGGTGCGGCACACACCACATCCAGATGCCCTTGGTGTGGGACTGCACCGTGGACCCAATAGAGAAGCCTGTCAGGGGGAGGAGAGAGGTTGGAAAAGCAAATCAGAGATTTTCTTAGTAATGGAGTGAGGGTTTAAGGAAAGCAAGATGAGGAAACAGTACAACCAGTACTGATCAGAATTACAACAGAGCAATGGGAAGTCCGTATCCAATACTAAAGGCTGGAAATTTGATTTGTTTAAATATGCTCCTAAAACTTTGCCAACTCATAATTCTATATAGGGAAAGCATTTCACTGATGTCTTGCCTTTATGAGATAATTATGTTATGCTTTTTCCAAGGAAATCTGAAGGCAAAAAAAGGTGATATATCAGGAACAATGAGTTGCTTTTCATCTTGCAGAAGATGAAAACACAAGCTGTGGCCTAAATGCTAGTTTTCAACATCCACTCCCATCTCTCCTCACATTGCCACACGGGATGCTGCCCATGTGAGTGGACAGAAGGGACTTGGCAAAGCTCTGGGGTGCCACTCACCCTTGCTCTTCCCAGCCAGCTTGTTCATCAGGTAGGATTTGCCCGTGCGGTAGAGGCCCACGATAGCCACCACCACCATGGGCTGCGTGATGCCAGACAGGATCTCAAAAGCTTCTGGGTTAACCTCCAGTTTCTCTTCGGTATTCTCAATGAGACACACAGGGTCTGGCATGTGGATCTCCGGAGCCATGTCCCAGATATTCTGTTGCCCACAAGTAAAGAGAAGAAATGGGCTGGAATTTCTAGCGTTTAAGCAGAGAAAGTTACTTTGCTTACTGAACCTGTGAGTGGACTACTTCCAAGCATGACCTAAGTTTCTGAAAAAAAAAAAAATTTTTTTAAATAGAAGGATATGGCAAAGAAGGCCACAGTAAAATAGGTCCTAGACCCTTTATAGATCTACTATAGGTTACCCTACTGGTCCTTAAATATCTGATGGGCATAGAGAAACACACGTCCAGAGTCCAACCCTCAGGTAGTTTGAATCTAACTCTAATTGTATTGATTTTTGGTTGACTTAACGTTTCTTAGTTTTTACCTTCCTAAATCTCTATATTAATTATTTTTTACTATTATTTGTTGTATTATACTTGCTGCTTTCACCACATATCAAGTTGATTTTTTTTCTTAGTTAGGTTTCTATCCAGTCAAACTGCGTCGTATTAAATATTACCAGGTTATTTGTTAGCATTAGCTAAGAAATCATAGTTGCTTACTTCTTAGGAATATATTTCTCAAAGTATTTTTTACACAGTTATTGAAGTGCTTTATTAAACCAAAGCTTCAAAGCATGATCATGTTATGACTGACTGAATAAGTAAAGAAACTTCCTTTAATGAGGATTAACTAACTCTTTTCTAACTTCTGGGCTTCGATTCCTGTAATCTAGAAAGTCTCTGGGAAAGTGTTTTTGTGCTATATGAAATATAATCAAATGTTTGCTTTCCTGCCTTGACATATTATAAAGAACAGTTTTCTTCTATTTTAGGGGGTTTATTTACTAACAAAAATACAAATCCACCATCTGCTTGATTTCTTCTTTGACTGAAATCTTACAATGAAAAGGCTTGGATTCCCCATCTCTTTTCCAACAGATTGTGAAAACGATCTATTTACAATTACAAAGACTCACTCTTGCCCCTTCCTCAAGCTAACACCTGGGTAGATCCAGGTGACAGACAAATTAAAACAGAAATTTCTTAGGAGCAGATAATAGTAGATCCACTTGCAAATGGCATAGGACTAGGTCACAGGAGTCAAGAAATATCTAGCAAAAGCCTGGTCCAAACAAAGGCAATTCCACAATAAATTTAAAGCCTCACATGTCAAGTCCATTCCAATCTGCTTTCAGTGGAATATTTGTACCTTATAATTATAAAATTCTGGTTGCCTAGTTTGTATGTAGTAGATGCTAAAATAATTTTCAATTAGAAAGATATGGTTTCCTTGCCGTGATTATCTACAATAATTAGCTAGAAGAACAGCAGACACAGAACCCAAATCTGTAGGCAGATACTGGGAACCTACAAGTTCTTAGGCTGTGGGATGATGTTGCTAATTGGGGAGGGAATAATTTGCCAGAAGTGTTCAGACTTCCTTATTGTGTATATATATTGAAAAGCTTATTTTATGTTTTTCCCAAATGTTATCTGAAAGCATCTTTAATGCTTTTAGGAGAGTCAAATCTCTACCACAGTGCGGCAGATTCAATACATTTGAACTGTACATAGAACTGTTGCTTGGTCATATAGAACTTAGCCTGTGAGGGGGACTCAGGGATGCATTCTCCCTAAATCTCTCCAGGCTTTCTAACCTTTTGTAAATAAAAACAATGCAAGAATGGACACACACACACACACACACACACACACACACAGTTGCACATTTTGGCTTTGCAGTAACTTAGGCTTTGACTTCAACCCCTGCTCTACAACTGGCTATCTACAACCCAGTGGGATATTCCTCGATTCTTCAAGCCTATTTCCTAAAACTATGGGAGCAAATAAGCATTTTATTACAACAGTAAAACTATGAGCTTTAAAGAGACAGGGCAGTGCCTGTGGCTCAAAGGAGTAGGGCGCCAGCCCCATATAAGTGGTGGGTTGAAACCAGCCCCGGAGAAAGGAAAGGAAAAGAAAAAGAAAAAGAAAAGAAAAGAAAAGAAAGGTCTTCATTTAAAAAAGAAAGGGAGAGCTATAGGACAGGAAAAAAAAATACAATGAAGGGAAATGCCAAGAAACAAAGAGAAAATGGTCAGAAGAGCTAGTTGTATCTGAAAGAAAATGTCTGTTTTCAGACATACAATTCTAGTTCAGATTTTGTGCTATTTTTGTCGTTTGTCTTGTTGTTTGTTTTGTTTTCTTTTGCCTTGTTTTTCATCTCATTAATTGGAGGAAAAGCATCTGACCAAGGAGAGAAATGGTAATCAAACAAGTAGATGTGTGGAGTTCGTGCCGTGAGCAGAAATTCAAAAGGAGAGAATTTCAAGGGGTTAAAAAAAAAAAATACAATTCGGCACCTGTTCGATTTGGTGATTCATAAACCTAGCGGCAACAGAGTGGTGGACTAGAAGCCAATACAAAAGGGGTTGAAAAGTGAGTAGCTGCCAAGAAACCAAAACAAATTAAATCAGAACTATTTTCAAAGGAAGATAACCACAAAGTCAAGATAATGACAAAATAATTGTTGCTGTTTTCATGAAATATCTTTGTGGGTTTCAACATTTCAGCTATTTATATGCATCTCATTAATGGCGCTTTCTCATGGAAGTAATACATCAGAATGCAGGTCTGCTACCATAAGAGTGAAAGACAGACAAAGCTTTTACACTCAGCTTCTGGCATTTAAAAAAAGGATTTGAGAACGGGGCAAGATGGTCACCTGGAGATGTTGGTTGCCAGACTGTTCTAAAAAAAAAAAAAGAAAAAAAACCACAATGAGATACCACTTTACTTCTGTCAAAATGGCCATATGAAATGTCAAAACCAGTGATTTTTCAACCTATGTGCCATGAAAATTTTAAAGATTATTAGTTAAGTTATTCAAAAGAAGTTCAAGGCATGATAAGTATATTCTGGTTTTTTTTTTTTACTCTTTTTTTTTTTTAATCAACATAATTTAAGTGTGCCATGGAAGTTTAACTATGAGTTCGGGTGTGCCATGAGATAAAAAAGGTTACAAAACATAAAACAATCAGTGCTGGAGGAGATGCAGGGAAAAGGGAACACTCGTGCACTGTGGATGGGGATGGCTATAGTGTAGGAGAGGAGGAGACAAGGGCCAAGACCCTAGCAGGCGCTTGTAGAGTGGATGCAGGTGTTGATGTAGACAGTCCTCTGGCAGAAGCTAACTAGAGAGGCTGATAACTGCAGGCAAGAACGGAAATCCTGCATCTATACTGTCTCCCTGTTTCTAATTGCCATAGTCCAAGTGAGTACTGGGGAATAACCCAGTGACAGGGAGACTGAGGGGGCTGTAACTTCACTGGCAGGATAGAGGCACTCAGTGAGTGCATAGACAATGTGGCACCTGCCATCTCAGCTCAGGTCTGTGGCAGGGCAAAGCAACTCTAATGGGCCCTGCAGCCAGACAGCTGTGCTCTCAAGATGCTACCAGTTTACCGATGGCAGCAGCCCTGGCTTGTGAGGGTAGAAGGGCTCTCTGGCAGATCAGGAGCTGGTGGACTACCACATTCTGAGGGGAGGAAAAGTAAACACTCCCTCTTGACCCTTTCCAGGGACTCCAAATCCCTCCACTCAAGACTCTGTCGAAATAGGCTTCACCTTACTTGTCAGCTAAAGCTATCACCTTAAGCACCTTAAGCGAGCTTTGGGTAATTATAAAATCATTTCCATTGTGGTTTTAAAAGTTCTCCACCCTTGTAATCACCAAAGCACTTCTGAGGCACCCATAGACAGTAAAACAATGGGAAGAAACCCAAATTCTTAGTAAAAGTTAACGCTTAGCTTTGAATATTCTCCCCCTCAATTAGTAAGACTTCAAAAGACTGAAAATCGCTTCCTCCAGATGCTCTTTTAAACCCAGTTGGGTTTCTTTCTGTTAAGAGTATATTTTTGTTTTCAATATAAAAAACAAAAAGCTGACAATTTCAAGGCTTACATGGTGCAAAATTATTTTCCTAATGATCACCACGAACTTGGAGAAACCTCCATTTGGAGATCACTACTACACTCTCTATGGAAAACAATAAGGAAACTTCTCAAAGAACTAACAGTAGAACTAAAAGTAGATCTACCATTTACAAATTAATAAAGGTATGCAAGGCAAGAACTGGGGTAAGGGCCTAAACTCTCAGAGCATACTCAAATCAGAGTATTTGAGGATGAAATACAAACAAAGTGAAAGGGGAAAGGAATTTGGAAACTGAACCCAGAAACCAAATTTGGTGAGGAGGGCAAATGCTGAAGGGAACTTCCCAACTGTTGCCTGGTGGATAAAATGAATGATTTGGCCTGATCTCTCACAAATTCCCAATTGTTGCTAGAAGCAAAGGCACAGGCTTAGCTAAAAATGATAACCAGTCACTGTCTCCTCCTTTGCTTGGTAATAATCAGTGACTGTCCCCTTGTTTTCTTCTCTGTAATTGCTACTTTGGAGTCACATAGCTGGTAGTCATAAAGATTCCTAACTCTCTTCATAGATAACACCTTTTGGAAACCTCAGGGTAGTTTCTGAGGTATCTTCCAGGCCTCAAATCCAGTAGATATGCTGACCCACCCAGAGCAGCAGCTCATACCAAGAAACTGGAATTCTTGGTATGATTCTGGAATTGGAATCATGACCCCAACCCAGGAAGTGAAGAAAAACAAGATGATTTCTACACTCCTATAATTTTGCCTTGAACCTAACCAATTAGCAAACCCAATTGCCTAATCCTTTGCTCTCCAAGTTATCTTTAAAAACCCTGCCTCCCAGCTCGGCACCTGTGGCTCAATTGGCTAAGGTGCCAGCCACATACACCTAAGGTGGCGAGTTCGAATCCAGCCTGGGCCCGCCAAACAACAATGATGGCTGCAACCAAAAAATAGCCAGGCGTGGCAGGCACCTGTGATACTAGCTACTTGGGAGGCTGAGGCAGGAGACTCGCTTGAGCCCAGGAGTTGGAGGTTGCTGTGAGCTATGATACCACAGCACTCTACCCAAGGGGACAGCTTGAGGCTCTGTCTCAAAAAAAAAAAAAAAAAAAAAAGCCCTGCCTCCCAAATTGTCATGGAGGTTGATTTAAGAAATTCCTCCCATCTCCCAGCGTGGCGCTCTGCACAATTAAACACTTTCTCCACAGCAGCCCTGACTGTCTCAGTATATTGGCTCTTCTCTGTGAAAATTCCCAATTAATCCCCCTACTAGAGTTCTACTCAAAGGGAAAGAAGTCATTTTGTTAAAAGGACACCTGCATTCATGTTTACCACAGTATAATTCACCATTGCAAAGATATGGAACCATCAACTGTTGAGAAGATCAAAAAAAAAAAAAAAGGTGATACACACACGCGTGCACGCACGCACACACACACACACACACACACCCCCCATAGAATACTACCGAGGTCTGAGAAAAATGAAATAAGACCATTTGTGGCAACTTGAATGGAACTGGAGGCTATTATCCTAAGTGAAATAATCCAGGAACAAAAAACCAAACACTGCATGTTCTCACTTATACATGAGAGCTAAGCAATGGGCATGCAGGTCACACAGAATTATGTAACGGACACTGGAGACTAGAGAGGGGAGATGAGATAAAGAATTACCTATAGATGCAATGTACACTATTCAGGTTATAGGTACCCCCAAAGCCTAGACTTCTCCGTTATGTAATTTCTCTATGCAACAAAAACTATATGTACCCCCTAAATCTATTAAAGTAAAATTAAAAATAGGATTTTGTGCCACAAAATAATAATACAATCATATTTCTTGAAACTTTCAGGGTGCAGTTTGAATCAGCTTAATCACATTTTACCAAAGACAAAGGTAACTTAATAGCAATTACATCACAGTTTGAAGGCCTTTCAAACCCTCAGTTTACGTCCCACATATACTTGTGCCTAATTCAGTGGGAGGCAAATGTAACTGGCTCTTGATGAATTCTGCGGCATATCTGATAATACCACAATTTAGTCCTCACTGATGTCTGATACAGGCTGAGCTGTATCTTACCCCACATAGAATGTGCTTTAAAACTAACTGAACCACACAAATCTCTTCCCCCTGGTGCCCCATTCTTACCTTGACTAGAAAATCAGAAGAGATCTTTCAGAGCTAGTAAAAAGCTGCTTTGATGAGAACTTGGTAAGGGTTCCAACTCTTGTTTCTAAATTGAGCTGTGAGGCTTTCTGATGTACTTCTTTCTCTCCCAAATCCGGGGACTTCTTTTCTCTCCACTCCCTCTTCCTTACCCGGCAAAGCAGACAATTTGAGTATGAAATATAAACAAAGTGAAAGGGGAAGGAATTTGGAAACTGAAACCAGAAACCAAATTTGGTGACGAGGGCAGATACTGAAGGGAATTTCCCAACTGTAGACCGGTGAATGAAATGAATGACTTGGCCTGATCTCTCAGAAATTCCCAATTGTTGCCAGAAGAGAACTTCGGGATTCTTTGCAATTGTTCACAGCATATGATATTGAGCTTCTTTGAAGTCTGGATCACATGTACCTCTAGTTTGGAGGCAGCCTCAGGGGAAACGCCATATAATTTTTGAGGCCTAGTTTTCTGAAATGGTAGATGCACTCACATATGTTTATCACTTTTACAGCAGGTTTAGTAGCCAAGAATCTTAACTCCCAGGCAAGCACAAAGTTCTGGGCACCTATTTTTTTTTTTTTTTTACCTATGTATTAGTCTATTTTAATTCTCCCAACAAATATTTCCCACCAGTTTTGCAAGAGGTAGGGCACAGAGAGATTTAATAACTTCTTCAAAATCGAGAAAGAACATTAAGAAAGGGGCTTTGGGGGGGGGGGAGCCTGGCCTGTGAAAACAAGGAAGTGTGAAGGCCCATAAGAATGTAAATATGAAATAATCAGTGACAGATAAAAAAGGACAATTATGCCCAAAGATGTAACAAAACATCCCAAAGTCTTTCCTTGCTAAAGGAAAGTCTTTGGAAGGAAAGATTTGCAACCCATTTCAAATGGAAAGAGAATTAATACCCCTGCATGGCCTTTGCGTCTCTGTCTCCCACCTGCCCTCCATCATGGGAGGGACCCACTTCCAACTGCTTTGGAAGTGCTCTACACTTTCTCTTTGTTCTTCCTAAATAAAATTCACCAGTTACGCTGAAACTTGTGCAAGTTACTTTGCTCCCTAACACGCTGCCTGTACTACACCAGTTTTATTTCTATTTCAGTTTGCTTTCAATTTTACTTTCAATTATCACCGTGCCTCGGTTGAACTTTCTAGCTCAGCAAAGTAATCAAACCAGATCAACCAGGTTCGAGGAGGTGAGACCCCTGGCCCCCAACAAAGCCATCAAGATACTAATATGCCATCTTCTATTACTGCATTCACGGAGGTATGTTAAGTTCCACTGATCCACCGTGTTCCAACCTGAGTGTTTGACATTTTGACATTACTTTGGTAACAATTCATGCCAATACTGGTTGGAAGATGCTGTCTCTTGGCCTTTCTTTACCTTAACATAAGATATCCCAATTACCAAGACAGTCTCCTTGTTCTTACAGCTGCAGGCTTCGATCTAGGCCCCACCATGCAGTCTCACACCAAGGGAATCCAGATGTGGTGTGTGCTTCTTCCCAGGAGACCTGGATTGGCCTGACATGGAGGGACTAGGAGATGCAGGGTAATTAAAGAAGAGAATGAAATCTCCCCTTTGTTAGAGCAGCAGGACATCCATAGAAAAATTATAATGAGGTTTAGGATTATAATTATTATAATACACATGTCCTTTTTTCCCCTTTCCATGTTGAAGGGAAAATTTTGACCTTGGATCCAATTCAGAAGCCACCAGAGCCAACTGTGCTGCACGATCTATTATCTGAGAACCACCACACCAATCAATCTAAGGCTTCAAAGTACAAGGTACAATTTGCCAAATGTTATTCTGTCTAGCTATCTAGGTTAGACTTTGGTGATGAGAGGAGCTCACAGGAGATTTGGAGGGTAGAATTACAGCCACACCATTATTCTTGCTCAGTTGTAGCTTTGTACACAGTGGTGGTCAGTCACAGGTCAGCAGACCTTTCCCATTCTACTTCAATAGCCAGATGGCACAGACCTTCAGACTTCTCCAAAACATCCGCCTTTGCACACTTGCCAATTAAAAGAAAAAGAAAAAAGAAAAGATCCACTGGGATTGTGTGGATCTTTCTGAAATCAATAGGTATTGAATCCATGTGTTTTGAATCCATAGGTGAAGATGGCATAGAAATGACATTTTAAAACTAATGTAACATCCAATCCATGATCTAGATATGTCTTCTCATTTATTATCCCATTTATTAAATGGGTCAGTTACATTACATGGTTTTAAGGGTATAGTCCTTAAAGATTTTTTTAGATTTGTTCCTAGGTAAGTTTTAAGTAAACTTTTTAAAATATAAATATTCATAGAGAAAAGTACACACTTCATCATGTACAACTCTGTGAACGTTCTCAAAGTAAGCACAAGCACATTGCCAGCCCTTACATCACAAATCAGAGTATGGTGGGAACTCTGGAGCCTTCCTCATGCCCCAGTTCGATCTCAACCCCTTGTCCTCTGTCCCATCAAGAATAATGACTACATAGGTGGCACCTGTGGCTCAAAGGAGTAAGGCACCAGCCCCATATGCCGGTGGTGGCAGGTTCAAACCCAGCCCTGGCCAAAAACTGCAAAAAAAAAAAAAAGAATAATGACTACCTTGCTTTGGCACTTTATATAAATGGAATCATGACGTATGTGCTGGTCATATCTAATACCTTGAACTTCATACTATGCCTGTGAGAAGTGTTCTGCTGGCTTTCTCTTTGGCCCATGTGTAGTGGCAACACATTTTGGCATATTGGTTTTAACAACTTATACCATGCAGCATCTCTCCTGTGTTTAGGGCCATTTGGGTTTTTTACCATTATTATTGTTATGACAAAATGATGCCACTTATATGAAACACAATTAAGCTGCTTTCACTGTTTCGGTGTTTCCGAGACCATCCCTGGTTTCAGCAGCACATCATCTTTGAACTCATTTTCCAGGGCTTATCTCAGTGCCAATGTCATGCGAAGAACCCAGTTTCCAGGGGTTTCTGTCTGGACACACGAGATACAGTATGAAACTTACATCAGTTCAAGAATGCACGTGTCTGGCCCGGACCTCCAGTCTCTTTCCTAAGAAATCGGTTTTGGAGCTTTCTTTGATATGCTTGTGTATCATGAACTTAGTCACTATCTTGTTCTATTTTGTGTTGTTAGAATATCTGAGGCTGAGTAATTTGTTAAAAAGAGAGAGAGAGAGAGAGATTCATTTAGCTCATCTGTAACAACAAAATCCAAGATTTGCCACCTGTGTCTAATAAGAGCCTCGTGCTACTTCTATGCATGGCAGAAAGTGGAAGGGGGAGGGGGAGGGCTGATGCAAAGTGATCACAAGGAGTGAAGGGAAGCAAGACAGGAAAAACTAAGGCAGCCTGACTCTGTGTAACAACCCATTTTCATGGGAACTAATCTATTCTAGCAAAAGCAAAAACTCACACCAGAGGAAGGGCATTTATTCTATTCCGCAGTGACCCACCCCTGGGCCTCTCCTCTCAATACTACCACACTAAGGGGAGCATTTTAACATGAGTTTTGGCAGGGAAAATCGCATCCAAACCAATAGGAGCCACCTATTGAGACAAAATTCAAATCCAGAACCAAAGACATGGATTTGCTTGAGACTGAGGGACCAGGAGATGCAGGGTAATTGAGGAGGAGAATAAAATCTCCCCATGATGGAGCAGCAGTACCCTTCTCTTCCAATGGACTTGCCATGAGTTTTTATAAACATGAGCATTTCCCTGTCTGTCAGGAATGTTGGAGTCTCAATACTAATATGAAACCAATACATTAAACAACTATACCCCCACATGAGGGAAAAACACAAGTAAATTCAAGTGGGGGAGAGGGTAGAGAGAAGGGAAAAAAGAGCAGGGAGCCAGCAGGTGTGCTCTCACCTACTGGCACAACGTGAGGGTAGACAGCACACCCCTGGGTGCAGGGTTCAACTACAATGTGAACTTTACCTTAGGAAAGCAAACAATGTAACCTAATCTTTTGTACCCTCCTAATAATCTGTAAAATAAATAAACAATCGGGTTGGAATTTAAGAAAAAGAATGTTGGAGTCAAATGTTAAAATAATGAACTTCCGTTTTACCTTTTATGGGATTTGCTATTGTTGGGATCTTATCACCGCTGAGAGACCACCACATACATGCAAGAACAAAGAGGTGCTTTATTTATTTACAAGCCTATGCCTGGGTCACTCTACCCTACAGCGTTGCGGCGGGAAGGGTGAAGACCAAAGTGAAGCCAGCGGACGTTTTTAGAGCACATTGAGGAATTACATCAGGTGTTTTGTCGGGAGGGGTTGCTATTGGCTAAGCTATTTCTGTTTAGGGACTTTGGCGAGGAGGGGGCTGCTTGTTTGTTCATGATAGACTGGCTCCCTTTAGGCTGACTGAACTTGCCCATGAGAGCCAAGGGCCGAGAAGCTGGTCCCCTTCAGACTGGCTTCCTAGAAATGCGGGGGAGAGTCTCCTTCTGATAGACTGATTCCACCTGGGCGACCTTGCCCAGGAGGGGGGGTTGGTGAGTGAGTTCCAAGATGGGGTTACATTAACCTTTTCATTCCCAAATGAAGTTACATTAACCTCTTCACTATAGGAGAAGAGGAAATTGTTAGCAAAAACAGCCACAGCTGCAAATAGGGCCCACCACTTCTTTGGAAACTCTGCAGCAATACCTACCACAGGAGGACAGAAGGATGAGGCTTAAACTGAACGGATGTTTTCAGGGGTTTGGGGCTTTGGTGAGGTTGCTGTACAAGGAACAGCTGCATGGGTCATGAAATGTTTCTGGACCATGAACACAGATGGCCCCAGTGGAAGAATGTGATAGCTAAAAGGGATAATGTTTTAGTAATCCTTGAACACATTTTAGGCAGTCTTTAGATGTTTTTTTTCTAAACCATGTTTTCCTTTTGCCAGAACAGAAAAGCAACTGATTTCCTAGCATGGAGCTCATTGTGTAAACAGCTCTTTGTTGCTTTCAGTTTCTATCTGAATCATACTCTGAGAAATGCTGTCCTGAGTAACCTTGAATTGGCTCAGGAGATTGTTTCCCTGGCTGGAAAAAGTTTATGCCGGGTCATTTTAAAGCATAATATGTGGAAGTGCGTACAATTTGGAGGGAGTAAGGGAGAAACGTCCTATTTTAGACTTCCAACACCTCCATTTGTCGTTG